CGGCACCGAGAGAGAGAGAGAGAGAAGAGCCCAGAGCGTCCCCTTCGCTGGCCCCGGGGCAGACAGCCCCCTTGTGCCGCGCGGCCGGGCCCGGCCCCCCCTCTCGGGGTCCCCCTGGGGCGTCCGGGGCAAAGCCCGGTGCCCGCCAGTTTGCCCTCAAGCAGGCTGATGCCTTTTGCTGCCTGCCCCGGCGGCCGGCTCTCGGCCCGCGGGAGCTGGTGACAGCCGGGTCCCTGAGGTGGTCTCTTTTTAAGCATCTTTTTTGCTCTGCCCATGACCGAGGCAGCTCTGTAGCCAGCTCGGTGGCTGGTGTGACGGTGCCGGGTCTGGGCTGCCACGTCCCACGGTGATGCCGGTGCTGTCTCCTTTCCCGCAGGCGGCGCAGGGCAGGACGCTTCCAGCCCCCGGCTGGGCTGAGACCTCGGGCGGACACAGTACCTGCGTAGCTGGAGCCAGCGCCGGCCGCCTGTTCCCAGCACTCCTGTGAGGATGGAGGAGCAGCAGGACGCAGCAGGCCCCAGGCCCAGGGCAGAGAAAGCCCCTCTTGTCATCCAGGCCAGGGCCGGCCAGGAGAGCCTGAGAGGGGCTGGGCCGCAGCAGATCAAGCAGGAGCCGCAGGAGGAGCTGGTCGAGTGTGCGGAGGTGGCGCAAGTGGAGGCCGGGCCAGCCCCAGGGACCCCACGGCAGCTGGAGCCAGTGCCAGGGGACGACCTCCCGGTCCTGGAGATGCGGCGACAGCGCTTCAGAGGCTTCTGCTACCAGGAGGCCGAGGGGCCGCGGGAGGTCTGCATCCGCCTGCAGGAGCTGTGCCGGCGCTGGCTGGAGCCCCAGCGCCGCAGCAAGGAGCAGATCCTGGAGCTGCTGGTGCTGGAGCAGTTCCTGGCGGTCCTGCCCCAGGAGATGCAGAGCTGGGAGTGGGGGCCTGGTGTGGAGACCTGCGCCGAGGCCGTGGCCCTGGCCGAGGGCCTTTGGCTGGAGCAGCCGGAGGACGAGAAGCTGCAGGTGAGAGTGTTTGGCCCCGGTCGCCCATGCTCCCGTCCACACCACCCTAAGCCTGGGGGACGTTGCTGCCCAGCTCCCTGGTCACACGTGTGCTTTGTCCCCAGGTCACGGTGTGCGTGAAGGTTGAGGAGGTGACCTCGGACAAGGGGGCCCCTGCGGGGGACTTGTGGGAACCTCTGGACTCCTGGGTGGAGCAGCCGCAGGAGGAGGAAGGACGGGGAGAAAGCCCTGGGCCCCAGGAGAAGCCGTCACGTGTCCCCAAAGAGGAGCCCACACCCCACGAGGAGTCAGGTAGCATGCCAGGCACCAGGCAGGGACCCTGCTCTCCATGCATGGGCAGCTGTTCAGTGCACGAAGAGGGCTTCAGTCTCTGGTGGGACCTCCAGCTGGAAGGTCCCCTGTCTCAGGTGGGCCTTGGGGCACTAGCAGCTTAAATCTCAATGATCAGGTCCCAGTTGCCACTCTCATGCCTGCCAGGAGCCCCTGTGCCCCTGAAGAGGTGAGCACAGGTGTCTGGTACGTGGGTTTTCCCTGGGACAGTGGCATGCAGTTAACCCCCAGCACTGTCCTGCTGCAGATTCCCCCGACGTGGAGGAGACCTGGGGCACAGTGGAGGTGGAGAGCTCCTTAGGCTGGTTCCCCCGACGAGGCCGTTTCCCCGGAACAGGTGAGGGACGTTGGCCGTGTCCTTTCCAGTAGCCAGAGGCACCTAGCAAGAGTCCCGACTGGAGAGACTGGGCAGTCCATCTGAAATGGACACCAGGCAGTTCGTTCTCACCCAGGGGGAATTAAAGGGTGGGACTCGTTGCCACCAGATGTTTGGGAAGTTCAGAGTGTAGCCACGTTCACCAAGGGATTGGACATGTTCTGGAGGAAAGGGGCATCTGTCGCTATTGAGCACAGGAGCAACCATGATATCAGAGCTTCCCAGACCTTCAGTGCCGGAGGCTGCAAGGGAGAGAGGAACAGGGGAAACCCCTGGTCAGACCCAGTCACCCTCCCTTTCTCTGCTGTTGTGTGACACAGGAGACTGGGCAGGACATGGCCTGACCTAGGCAATGGCAGCTTGTATGTTCTTATTGCCCTCTCCTGCCGGAGCATTTTGGGGGTCGATGCTCCAGCACCTCAGTTTATCCCGTCCCCCTAGAACTGCTGCATGCACCTTGGAAAAGACACTCCTGACCTTTCCATCTTTGCACCCCCTCACTTCACACATGGGTCCTGTCACAGCACCAGGGTCCCCCAGGTGTCTGCCCTGGGACTGATGTCCCTGCAGGCGTTGACCATGGGCTGCACTCACCACTGAGCCAGGACAGAGTCACTGGGGCTCATCTCTGGCGTGGTAGCCTCGGAGGTCTGTTAGCAGGAGCTGCGAGGCTCTGGCTCTTCTTTTCCTCTCTCCTCTGGTGGGCTGAGGCCTGGGGCTGACCTAGGTGCATGCCAGCACAGGGGAAGAGCAGGGCTCTCGTCTGCCTTCAGCACTGGGACTGACCTGTGAATTCTCCTCCCCAGCAGGCACAGGGACCCAAGGTAGAACAGAGCAGCAGACTCCTGATGAAGGACCTGCCCACCTGGCACTGACAGGGACATCCCTGGGAAGCCACCTGCACAAAAGACAAGCCAGGCCCCCCAGGCAGAGGGAGACCATGGCAGCGCACGACGTCGCAGCTCCACTTGGACTGAGCCTGGGCTGCGGGGAAAAGTCCGTGGAGCCAAGAGACCCGAATGAGGGCAAGCTTCCTGTGAGCAGAGAAGGCCCAGGAGGGCAGCAGGAGCCGGGAGCCCAGGGCAGGGGGAGACAGCATGGCTGCCCCACCTGTGGGAAGCTCTTTGAGTGCCCGGCACACCTGGCCCTGCACGAGCGTGTGCACACAGGCGAGAAGCCTCACGCCTGCCCCCTGTGTGGCCGGAGCTTCGCCCGTCCCGGCAACCTGGCCGCCCACTTCAAGACACACTCAGGCGAGAGGCCACACCGGTGTCCTGACTGCGGCAAGGGCTTTGCCCGCCCTGACAACCTGGCCACGCACCGCCGCACCCACACTGGGGAGAAACCCCACGGCTGTGGCCAGTGTGGCCAGCACTTCGCCAGCCTCTCCCACCTGGCTAAGCACCGGCGCCAGCATGCAGGGGACAAGCCACACCGCTGCACCCACTGCGCCAAGGCCTTCCTGTTCCCCTCAGACCTGGCTGCCCACCAGCGCGTGCACGTGCGGGGGGGACCACCGCTGCACCGCTGCGCCCAGTGTGGGAAGGCCTTCAGCCACCCTGTCAATTTGGCCCGGCACCAGCGCAGCCATGAGGGGGACAAACCACACCGCTGTGCCCTCTGTGGCAAAGGCTTTGCCCACCCCTCGCTGCTGGCGCGGCACCGACCCGTGCACACCGGGGAGAGGCCACACACCTGCGCCCAGTGCGGCAAGGGCTTTGTGTCCCGCTCCGACCTGGCTCGGCACTGCCATGTGCACACGGGTGAGAGGCCACACACATGTGCCCACTGCGGCAAGGGCTTCGTGCAGCATGCCCACCTTGTCCGCCACCGGCGCCTCCACATGCCACCACTGCCATCACCACTGCTGTAGATTCATAAATTATAGAGTCGGAAGGGACCCAATCGGTCATCATGTCCGACCCCCTGCCCCTGGCAGGAAAGAGGGCCGAGGTCAGACGACCCCAGCCAGGTGATTGTCAAGCCTCCTCTTGAAGACCTCCAATTTAGGTGACAGCACCACCTCTCTTGGTAGCCCATTCCAGACTCTGGCCACCCTTACTGTAAAAATATTTCTTCCTAATGTCTAACCTAAATCTACTCTCCACTAATTTGCACCCATTATTCCTAGTTACTCCCTGGGACGCTCTGGTAAACAGCGCATCCCCAATTCCCTCCTGTCCTCCCCTGATAAATTTATAGGGGGCTACAAGGTCACCCCTCAGCCGTCTTTTGTATAGGCTGAAGAGATCCAGATCTCTCAACCTCTCCTTGAAGGGTCTTTCATGGAGACCACTAATCATGCAAGTGGCCCTCCTTTGAACCCTCTCCAGATCCTCCGTGTCCCTCTTGAAGGCCGGCGCCCAAAACTGGACACAGTACTCCAACTGCAGCCTGACCAATGCTGCATAGAGGGGGAGCAGCACCTCCCTCCATCTGTTGGTCATACATCTGCTAATACACAAGGTGCGATTGACTTTGTTGATGGCCTCGTTACACTGCTGGCTCATGTTCATCTTGGAGTCAGCTATGACTCCCAAGATCTCTCTCAGCCTCTGAGCTGCTGAGGAGGTCACCTCCCCAACCTGTAGGTGTGCTGGGGATCCCTCTTTCCTAGGTGGAGCACCTTACATTTATCTTTGTTGAATTGCATCCTATTACGTTCGGCCTATTAATCTAACCTGTCAGCCTGTAACTGCTCCCTGCCCTCTGATGTATTAACTTTGCCCTATAATTTGGTGTCATCCATGAACTTGGAGAGGGTGCTCACCACACCGTCATCCAAATCGCTGATGAAGATATTAAATAACACCTGCCCAAGGACCGAACCCTGCAGAACCCCACTGCCCACCTCCTTCCAGGCTGAGAATGACCCATCAACCACCACTCTCTGGGTGTGGTGCCTAAGCCAGTTAGCCACCCACCTGACTGTAGGCGTTCCCTCCACAGCCTGTTATTTTCCCTATGAGAATAGGATGCAGAACTGTGTCGAAGGCCTTCCTAAAATCCAGGTAGATGGCACCGGCCTCTGCTCCTGTGTCAAGGCAGTGTGGCCTGGTCATAAAAGGCTATAAGGTTTGTCAGGCAGGATCTACCTGTGACAAACCTGTGCTGATTTCTTTGCATCGTTTCCCCTGCTGGGCTTTCACAAATATGCTCTTTGATGATTTTTTCTAGTATTTTCCCAGGGATAGAGGTAAGACTGACTGGCCTAAAGTTACCGGGCTCCTCCCTTCTCCCCTTCTTAAAAATGAGCACCACTTTGGCCTTTTTCCAGTCCTCAGGGACCTGTCCAGAGCACCAGGAGAGCTCAAACAGCCGTGCCAGCGGCTCAGCAATGACACTGGCCAATTCCTTCAGCAGCCGTGGATGGAAGTCATCCGGGCTAGCTGACTTGTGCTCATCCAGTCCTTCCAAGTGCTCTTTAACTAAGTCAGCACTAACCTTTGGCAATCTGGTGCCTTTTGGACATCTGTCTATGCTCAAGGTGTGGGGATTGTCTTGGTCAGTATTAAGGAATACTGAAGCGAAGAACTCATTGAAGAGCTCTGCCTTTTTGTCTGCGTCAACCACCAACTGACCTGATTTGTCCTGCAGGGGCCCTATGCTACTCTGCACCACCTTTTTGCTCGCTATGTACCTAGAATGACTTTTTATTGTCCTTGATTGTTGTAGCCAGCCTAAGCTCCAGTCCTGCCTTGGCCTGCCTAACTGACTCCCTGCAATAGCGTGCTAGGGTGGTGTATGCCTCCTTGGTGGCTGCCCCCTGCAATAGCGCTGCCTGCGATACCAGAGGGCATTGGGCGCCCCCACACCTGTCCACTCTTGCAGCCCACCAGCCGCCATCGCTGCTGTAGTACTGTCGATGGCACCAGAAGGCATTGGGCACTTCGCAGCCCCCTGCTCTCACAGCCCACTGGCTGCCATCACCACTGTCCACAGCACCAGAAACCATTGGGCACCCCTTGAACCCCTCCAATCTCTGAGCCCTGTGGCTGCCATTACCACCATAGTACTGCCCATGGCACCAGAGGGCATCAAGTACCCCTCGCTCCCTGGACCAAGGACTGGAAGAGGTTTCCTCTTCCCTCATCCGTCATCAGGCGCTGCAGGATCCACAGAGGCTAGAGGCCTTTGCTTTTCATCCTCGACCCCACTTTTTCATGCACTTTTCTACCCTTTTCCCTGAGGTGTCCATGCCCACAGGACTGTGGCCTTTGTGAGCTGTGAAAGACCCTGGTGCTAGGCAGGGGTGTTGGGTACAGTTGTGCCCCCACGTGTGGCTGGGCCTTAGGGAGCTGTATCCCTGCCGCACCCACGGAGTGAGAAGAAGTAGTGGGGTGGAAGCAGTTTCTGTCTGCCTAGCCCTGGTGCTGGCTTGGATACAGACAAAGCCCCGCAATACTGAGGGTCCCTGGATCCATGGGCCAGACCCTGGCTGCAGGCCCTATGTCACCAGTCCCTACCCCCACGCCTCAGCCCAGCACAGCAGGCTAGGGGAATTAAAAGGTGGGACTCATTGCCACCAGACTTGGGGGAAGCTGACAGTGTAGCCAGATTCACCAAGGGATTGGCCATGGTCTTGGAGGAAAGGGGCATCCATGGCTATTGAGCACAGGAGCAACCATGATATCAGAGCTTCCCAGACCTTAAATGCTGGAGGCTGCAAGGGAGAAAGGAATGGGAAACCCCTGGTCAGACCCAATCACTCTCCCTTTCTCTGCTGCTGTGTGACAGGAGACTGGACAGAACATGCTGTGAAATGGGAGAGGAGCAGGGGCTGGAGCCCTTCCAGAGCTGAGGCCTCTGTGTTTCCTGGCCCCCTCCTGTTGCAAAGAAATCACCAGGATCTGGGGCCCGTTCCCAACAACCAGGGCTCTCATGGCCAAGAAATATGAGACAGTTGCACTGGAGTCATCGATCCAGGGACCACAGCAAGGGCCCTGTACTGGTATCTCTTACCAGGAGCCTCTGCCCTGAGGGTCCTGGTGCCTCAGTGCTGGCACAGGGTTGGCTGTGGGGGCCTGAAGCTCGGCATGTTTGAGATTTCATGCTCTGCTAGTCTTGAAGCCATTTGGCCCTGTGATTCTCCCATAGCTGCTACTCCAAGCAGCCAGCAGCCCACCCCAGAGCATGGTCTTGCCTTTCATCCCTGATTGTCCTATCATCTGATCCCTGCCCCCAGTCCCTGTCCTGCTGGATGGAGCCCCTGACTGGTGCCTTGAATGGAGCAGCAGTTCAGCAGCCAGGAAGTGGCTCCCACTTTCCTGATGTTACAGTTTTTTAAAGACAATAAATGTCGATGTGTGAACAGCCCTTGGGTTTCTGGGAGATGCTGGTTTGTTTTGCAGTTGGATGTGACCACAGGAGGAGGATGAGAAGAAGGGGCCAGGTTGAAGGGGCCCATTAGAAGCTGCATTTCCCAGGGGGCTGCAATGAGCCCTGGAGGTTGGCGCAGGTGCCCGTGTTAACAGAACTGAAATCTGTGGGGATCTTTGAAGGGGTCATGTTGACCAACCAGTTATGGTCACCGGCTGTGTCTCTAGAAGGCCTGGCTCTCAAAGGCTGCTTCCACTCCATCCAAACTGGCTCTGTCTGCTGCCACCCCTGGGGCCAAACCTCAGTAGTTACCAGGGGCTCAGCTCATGAGCCAGGGTTTTTCCTCCCCTTTGAGGAGCAGGCAGAGATTTCCAGTCACCTCTTCATCCTGCAGAGGATGGTGGGAGCTGTCTGCCAGGGCCCTCTGCACTTGGTATCCTTCCTCCCAGGGATGGAGTCTGTTTGCTTGCTGCTTTCTGGAAGCCTGAACCAAACCATAGACCCATAGGATGACCTATGCTTGGTCTCTGTCTCCACCAGCTTCTTCCACCCTACTGTGCTGGAGCTGGGAAGGATTTTGCTGAGAGTTGATCTAAGCCCACTAAATCCACACTGCACTGAGCATTTGGACAGACACCACTCCTGTGAATGCAGCCCCAAAATCAGAGGCACCGGTTCCTCTGTGATGGGAAGCAACATCCACGCATGTCAGTCAGATTCATCCTCACAGTCCAGGTCACCAGCACATTGCGAGCCACATTGGGTTTGGCCTCAACACCAAGCCTCAGAGTTGGCTCCTGGGGCAGTGGCAGGCACTTTGCCCATCTAGCCCTGGGATGGCATTCAAGGATTACTGGATTCAGGCTATTTGGGCACAGTCAGAGAGAGGTTTTCTGCTTGGAAACTAGCTGCCAGACTCTGTCCCTGCTCTTGGGCTGCCTCCTGCCATTTTGAACCAGCGCCCAGTTGGCAGCATGTTGAAAGTTAAGAATGGCTGCTTCCAGGCTTTGCTAGTTGCTCCACTCCCCCAACCTTTCTGCTCCATATGTCAGGGGGCTTTTAAGACTCCCTCAGAGGCGCTGGGTGTTGGCTGCAGCCCAGGCTGGGGATGAGGTCTGGGCTGTGCCAATGCTTCTCCTGGGACCAAACTTGGAGGGCCCTGGCTAGAGGGTCTGACCCCTCTGGTCAGGGTCAGACTGATGTCACATTTGGGTCCAGAAGAAATTTTGCCCACAGTCAGACTGGTGGGGACTGGGGGGGGGAGGAGGGGGGAGTTGCCATCTGTAGCAGGGGCATGGCCTCTACCTGAGATCTCTTGAGCGTCTATTAACAACCTTTTACAGCAGCAGGACTTTGGTGGCTGTGGTCCCCCTGCTTTCCTTGTGGCAGGTTTGGGTGTGATGTCCCAGATTGACTCCATCTATTCGGTACCCGGTGTCAGCTCCACAGGGGAGAGAGTCCTTAACAAGAACCAGGATGAGGGTCAAAAATTGGAGAATAGAATTGGGATGGGCACTCATCCTCGTTTGACTCCAGCCACATGACAAAGGTCTGTCTCCAGTCCTGCACAAAGAGCATGCACTGAGGAAAACTTCCAGGTCGTTCTGGGTCTCTTCACAGAGCCAACTTAGAGCCTCTCTCTCAACA